CTGCCTGTGGTCTGAGAAGATGCCATAGCTGTGGGAAATGTCTGTTTGCTGTTGGCGTTGTCAGCTCCCAGTCAGCCCCACCAGTCAGCCCTGACACGGTGCGTGACCATACTGATGTTGCAGCTTTGCCTAAAACCCTGTGCTGAGGCGTGGCAGAGAATGCATGCTGTAGGCTTTCTCCATGCCAGCAGTGGGGACGGCTGGTAGCTTGGGGAAGTGCTCAAACTAGGCTGCAAGCGGTGGTCTACCTGCCCTGCCAGTCATCATCTGCAGATCTGCAAAGAAGTACACATGCGTCCATGCTTGCATTTCAGCAGCAATCCTACTGATTTCACTTGCAGTAAGCTATTATCAGCATCTGAGGCTTACCACTAGTGAAGCCACTGTTTGACACGCTATGAACAAAATTCATCATATCTCTACATAATTTTATCCAGGGGAGAAGGAAGGGCAGTAAGAGATTTTTCTTTTTTCACTTTTATTGTAATTTTAGAGAGGCATTCGGATGTGGTGATGGTGAGACTATCACTACTTAGCAATTTAGGTTACCCTCTCCAGTTCAGTGTATAGGGACAGGGATAGTACTTTACCTTTACAACTTTCAAAAATCTCAGCTTTGCAACAATCCTCCGTTACTGCTTGTCCACGTTGCATCATATGTCATGTAGACTGTGCCCAAGGATGGTTTTCTCCCTTAAATAGAAAGCCAGTTTTTTCAGAAATTATTTGTTTATTTCACCAATCTATGGCTGCGTGTCTATCCAGAGACAATTTAATCTGCTGCTGGCAGTCTGTTTGGCAAGACAGAGACCTTCCAGTGCCCCAGCCAAGCAATGCAAACAGAATTGTGATGTTTATATCATAGATGGCTGATGCAGGGAGAGTCCCCTTGATCAGCCCAAGCTCCATTTGTGGTGAGGGCAGCTGAGACACTTTTGGTTGCTTGAAGTACTTCTGGCCTCACTGCTGCTGTCTCTGGGCCTTTCTAGCCATTACTTTGTCCCTCGCAGCCTGCTGACTTCTACAGTGAGGGTGTCCTCCTCCCTGCCCCTTCCAGCTCTTGACAGTGAAATAATTCTTCACAGTGTAATTATTATTCTTCACAGCCTGCCTCGTTTCTTTTGCAGTGAAAGGGTCTGTGGAAATCCCAGGAGAGCATGGTGGGGAGGTAATCTGTAACCAAGCTGTCACTGCTCTGGCCAAGCATATGCTCTCTCATGGCAAAGTGCATGTCTCTTGGCCCATCTCCTCGTGTCTCTCCCAGTTAGTCATATACAACTGGTGTATGACAGCACTTATTTCTTTGGCTAAGCATGCAAATTCCTGTATTCTTGGCATCCATTGTGTATTGGGCTAATTCCTCTGTTCAGTCTTTCTCTTTCTGTTCCATCTATTTGGTGATTCTCAGAGTTGGATAGCTTTTATTCTTCCCTCTCCATTTCTATTCTCCCCAAGAGCCCATCTGGGAACTGTGCACAAGGACATTATAAATTATTAAAACCAGGTTTGGCTGCACCAATAAACCCAAGAACATGTGTTGGTGCAATAGTTGTGGTTTACTTTTGCATCTGCTTGCCAGTCAGCTTTCAATATTTCTTAACGCTTCACCACCTCATTCTTATGTGAACCAGAGAAATTTTCTCCTATTTTTAATTGCATGAAGCTGGCTCAGCCAAACTGAATAACAGAATAAATTGCAAAGTCCATGTGAGTGCAGTTCCTGGTTGCCAAACCTCAGCAGCCACAGAGCCATTTGGATGAGTTCTTCCAGGACAGACAGCAAAACCTGGGAGTCACTAGAAAAAAAGTGGCACCTTAACTGTCTGTTATAGAAATGGTCTTATCCCCTCTCTGTGATGCCTGAATTTCCATTTCCTCTTCCATGGACCAGGGATAATGAACAGACACACCTGGCTTGTGGAGGCCTTTTGAAAGCCTCTGTTGCAAGGAACTGCCAGAATGCTAAATATTAGTTGAGATTTTTGTTATTTTATTGGGATGTCCTAGGAGAGCAAAATCCACCCACATGTGGGAAGGCAGCTGTATGTAGTTCTGGTGTGGGAAACAGTGATCTAGTGAGATGAGCAACGGGTGAGACATGTGGGGAATAGCCTGGTCTTCAAGTTAGGAATTTCACAGCTATACTCCGGCATCGTGAGCTGTATAAATGAATCATCAGCACAGCGAAACCACAGAATGACACCAGGTTCCCTAAAAGAGTTTCTCTATATATATAGCTGCTAGACTTGCATATTTCTGTTTATAAATACTCAGTCATAACTGACCGCAAAGTGACATGGCCTTCTCAGCAGACAGCTCCTAAAAAAATATTTGTTCTATTCTTCATTTCTTCCTGAGTTATTTTAAACCAGACTTTTGCACCTCCAGATATACTATTTTAACTTAACGTCCTGCTACTGGTGATCAGAACATTTTCTGCGTAAAAAGACAGCTGGGACGGAGCTGTTCTGAAGGATGTTGATTAGAAGTGTCGATCGTCGTTAGGTCTATCTGAGGATGTTGTGCTATCTGGGAACTACACTGCTACGCTGTAGCTATATGGTTTTAGTTTAGTTTTCTAAGGCAGGACAGTGTATGCTACTGCACTATAAACTCGCTTTAAATCCTTTATCCTGCTTCATCTGCATTTTCCAAGGGGCCTTGTTTTCAAACAGCCTGGAGTTGTAGCAGCGTGAGGAACATTGGTCACTGCTGGTGTGTACAGATGGGAAAGCCAAAGCGTTGGCTCGTGGGGGGAAAGTTAAGCCGAGCCCAGTCCTGACACGCGCTGGCGGGCAGGGAGAAGCTGACCAGTTAGCACCGATGTGGTCCCGAGAGAGCCCGGGGCTGTGCTGGGCCTTGACAAACTAGTCACGGGTGAGGTGGGAGCAGAGGACGTGAAGTGGAGAAGGAAAGGGTGGGAAAAGCCATGAGGGGAGAGCTGAAGTGGCCGCAGTGGAAGGCGGGGGGGGGGGGGGGGGGGGGCGTTAAGGGCGCGGGGCACAAAACTCCAGCAAAGCCTGTGATGCTAGTTCTGCTGCTCACCGAGCAGCTTGCTGTTGGATGGCTTTACTCAGTGAATGCAACGAATGCGTTTGCAGCACTTGGTACGTAGAATCTTTTCAAAGACATCAAACCTCATTTCCTGCAGTTTTGCTTCTTTTCAGTCTGGCAAACATCTGGGTTATTGACTGGGAACTTGCCTGGCTCTTACCATTAGATACTCCCACCTCTATTGCGTAAGTCACTCACATAGTAATAGCCTGAACTTAGACTTAATACAACATTTGTCACCCAGTCTGACAGCCCTTCTGTCTGGTTGCCATGCAGTGATCTGGAAAAGGAAGGACTGAAATAATTTTATAATTCATGAGGCCAGATTCTCTGAATAAATTGCAGGCGCTCCAGAAAGCAAGACCAGTGGTTTCGTAGCCCAAATGGGGGACCTTAGCATCAATGGAGATGAGTTCTTTCTTTTCACTGAGAAAATGGACCACCACAGGGCAGTGACTAATTTTAGTTGCATTATCAGCCTTTCAGGTTCATGGATAACAGGACTGCTTAAAGGAAAACCAGGCAGCCATGTGTGGGGCTGATAGCTATAGAAACCCTTGCTGTGCTGATCAGGATATAGAAACTGCAAAGACCATTACAGATCGAAATATGTGACTTTTGTCTATTTTTATTTCTTTTTGTTTATTTACCAAAGTTGTTGTAACTTGGTGGATATTGCCTGCACAAAAGAATATGTGCAACCTAAGCATATGACACATCCCCAAAGATTGCAGTATATTAATAGATGTCATCATCTATACGTTTCTTCTCTCCATAGCAGCTGGGAGCACAGTCTCGAAAATGGGTAATTTTTCATCCCTTAAACAATATTCTGAGGTCTTCAGCATAACTGAGGCTGATATTAGTTAAAGAAAAAGTTCATGGATTATGTCAGCGTTAAATAAAAAATGTTTCTTACATGCCTGCTGCAATAAACAGCTATGTTGTTTTTATTACTCAAGTCATTATTTGGTTAGTGAGAGCACCACAAAGCCTGAGCCTTAGGCTAGGACCCCAGTGCTCTAGCCTAGGGCTGCTCAGCTGAGGTTTACAAAGTCCAGGGTGGGGAGAGTATTTTACCGAGGTCTGCTAGCAGGGTGCTGAGTCCAGGTCTGGCAGGACAGCTGGACACCACACACTGCTTTCCTGGGCTAGCAATGAGGCAGCATGTGGCAGCTGATTCCCGAGGGATCAAGAGGCTGTAAGAAAGGCAGGGTTCCCTGCAGGAGGCATCACATGTCAGGACAAGGCACGGGAAATATCGGCGTGTGGTCCAGTTCCAGACTGAAGTCTCCACTAGGTTGCCCTGTTCTAAACAAGCGGAGGCCAACATTGCCACAATTCATAAGCCGTTCCTTACCCCTTCTGCTCATGAGCCTGGATGCCATAATCTGTTTATATCTGTTAATTCTTTATACTCCATTGTGAAGAGAGCCTTAAATGCAAGCTGTGACACTAAGATGGATGTTTTATGAAAGGAAAGAGGAATCAACCCACTTGTGATTCATGAGCGATCTGGGAACTCACAAAAGATTTATGTTGTCCATGGAGAACTTGCTAAACCACATTAAGTGAAGACTGCAATTATTTAGCTGCTGACTATGCTGCAGGACACCTTTTGTTAGCCATGAGAATTTTTTATTGGAGGTAGAGCGTGAAATAGTCATGTGAAGACACGAGTGTATGAAAACTACCATTCGTCAGAGAAAGGGAAATTTAGTCATGTATTTAGCAGTCATTTCCCCTTTTTTTTTTTTGTGAAATCCAAATACATATTTTCTCCCTCTCTCTCTGTCTTTGTTTCTCTCATCCTCACTCCACGGAAGGAAAGAAAGTTCAGTCTAAAATGTCGTTTGGTTCTGACACAAATCTGATTGGGCAATAAGAGACAAATTTCCGCTGTGTGTTGAGCTAAACCCTATATAAGGTCCTCACTAGCGATTTTTACTCTTATATCATTTCATGAGAAGCTAATGGCTGCAAGACTACAGAAGCACAGGTAAGTGGATCTGATGGAAATCTGGGAATGAAAACCTCTCCTAAACCCTCAGATTGTGTAGGGTTTATGGAGATTGCTAGATAGTAAACCAAAGGGACCAGAAAGCTCTGAACAAAATAACTAAGTATTTTCATCAGGCAAAGGATCTAATGAGAGAGAAACTCCCCTGCTACATGTGAACCATGGGGCCTGTTAACACCGCAGACAAAGCCACTATCACCCACCCAGGTGTGGCCCTGAGAGGGGCTACAGCTCCATGGCAATGCCCTGGAAACCCTTGCAGATCTAGCGGTAGGGGAGATGACCTGTGGTTATGAAACAGTATTATTGAGCAAGAGGTTGGCTTTGTGGTGTTGCAGAGATGACAATAAGCTGGAAATAGTTTATTATAGTGAAACTGTCAGATGTCAGATAAATATAGCTACTGGAACAGGGAGAAATTTGGATTAAAACCGCATTATAAATATGAGCATGGTGGGATACGCAGAAGATGACTGAAGGTGAGTGAGTACCTATGAATATGACTGTATTATATCGGTAGAAATATGGTTTTGCTTTTGGATACAATTTTAAGTAGTTGTCTGGTCATTTAGTATTTGTCCTATGGGACAATCATAGTGTTAGGCTAATGTTAAATGCATGCAATTTACATTTCTGTATATAAAATGAAAATAGTATGTGTCATGTGCATATGTGCACTGTATTGCACATAAACACCTTACATTGAGCATAAACTGGTGCCTATACATATCATGTTTTATGTATTTTTGCCTGTGGTATACTGAAATAACACAAATCAATCAACTGGGTAGCAGCAGCTGAAACCTCATGGCAGGCCAGAAAGCATTCAGTGATGTACTCAGAAGCTGCCTTGCCCGTGCCAGGCCAATACAGATGACAATTAATGAATGACTGGCAGCGGATAGTTTTGTTTTCCCTTAGTGTCACCGTGTCTGATTCTTAGGACAAGTTGTTCAGGGTTTTCCTTTTCTTTTTTTAGCACAGACGGTAATAATATCCACACCGAAAACTCACTTGCACACCAACAGCAGGGTGGGTGTGCATGCCATGGGAATCAAATTTTTTTGTCCCAGGAGTCACAATTGTTGGAGACTTTGAAAGCTTGGCTCTGGTTATAGCAGGAGGTTTGCCTGCAGCCTGATCTATGCTAGCTGGCCTACTTTGGTAGCTATAGCGGGGAAGATAAAGTGACACAGGATTTAATGAGAGCCATACAATGAGGTGGGAGACACCTCAAGTGACTGCTTAAGAGAGCTAAAGTCTATTCTGCTGCATCTTTGCTCCTATGTTCACCCAAGCCACTGCACTACAGCTAACTCGAAGCATCTGACCCGTGTCTCAGTCACATCTGATTGCAAAATAAGCGGAGCTAGATTTTTCCACCTGTAGCTGTTGCACTGAAAAGCCATGGGGACAGCAGCATCCTGTGGTATGTTGTTCACATCTCTGGAGTCAAAGGAAAGGGACAGAAGTGATATGCTTGTGCCAAGCCAGGTGCTCTTGTTCCACAAGCCAGTCCCCCTAAACTAAGGATGAAGAAGCCTTTCTGCTCACTAAGGGTGAAACAAAGCTCACCAGATCCAGAGTGAGGAAAAGAGCAGTTAACTCTTAAGTTAATGTTAAGTATTTCTATTGTATATTCTGTCTTGTGATAAACTTCCATGTAGATTTCAAGACATTTTCCCTCGATCTTCTCCTTCCGATTTCCTCTGGGAAAAAATGTGTGGGCTCTTCTTTGTCCTGGTGACGTGCACAGTGGGTGCATCTGCTTTCAGACTTCAGCAAGTCAAAAGCACAGGTAAGGGCACGTTTGTTTTTTTTTTTTTTTTCCTTCTATCTCCCTCTCCCTTTTTTTTTTTTTTTTTTTTTTTAACATGACTGGCTGATAGTAACGTAAAAATATCTCTGATTTATACAGAAAACTGCCCAGACCACACTGTGTTTTTCAAACATTACTATGAACTGCATGGACAACCTGTGATTCTGAAATGCCCTTCCCCCAGATACAAACATTTGGATTTTTCTGCCTTGACCCCTAATATCACATGGTATAAAAATGGTTCAAAAACCATGATATCAGGACAAGATGAACATCCGAGAATCTGGGCAAAAGGAGATGCACTCTGGTTTTTACCAGCAATTCTAGAAGACTCAGGAGTATACATCTGTACCAGAAGGTGGGTATTTGAAAGAAAATCCAGTGTGCTAACAAGCTGACTATGCCTAAAATGCATTAGCTTGATTCTAAACTCTGGTTGTGTTCAAAGCATGTCTGGATAAGGTAATTTCTTTAATGACTTTATTAGGGAAAAATATATGGCAAGCCAGAACTCTTAAATTCACTGTGTGTCTCCTATAGATACATATACTGAAATCTGGATAAATCATGACACAGTATTGCCACCCTGGCTACGACCTCATGGGGAAACAGTGTACGTGAGAGTTTGTTCTAGCTTATCTGTGAGCCAGTCAGGGCTATGGCAAGCGGGGACGTGCTGCAGGCAGGGGGTTCTGCAAAATGCAACCCTCTTGTTAGAGCTCCAGAGAAACAGCCTTTGCACTTCAGATTGCCTTACGAGGCACATACCAAGGCTTTGGAGTGGCTTCTTTCTTCCCTCTTCCTTATCCCTGGTGTTTACTTTTCCTCTGCTTCACATTTTAGACCAGACTTTGATTGACTTGGTTTTGCTGGAAGATCTGTCATGCGACCTGATGTGTGTTGACTAGGCTGGGACTAGACTTGTGATACTGCAGTGGGTTGAGACTCGGTCACCTTATTTTGAGTATCTAACAGCCCACTGTACAGTTTCAAAAGAGGTACTAGGGTCTGGATTTGTGGGGGAATGAGGAAGGCAAAAATGCCTGTGACCATCAGAGCCTGAACTGCAGAAGGTGTCCCAGGTCCTTGCCCCCTGCCAGCTCCTCCTTCCAGCCAGCCTCCCAGTACACCCCTGGCAATAGACACCTTGTTCTGGGGTCTATAGTGGAAAACACTATACTATAGGGGAAAACAAATACATCCCTGGAGCTGCTGGTGTAGAGTGCAGTTTCCTTGCTGGCACGGTACACCTCATCAGTGACGTGTGTCAGCAGTAGGGGAGATGGACAGGCGGAACTCAAATTAGTAAATCATGCTCAGCATATTGGGTAGGCCTTTCCGCATGTCTCAGCAGCGATTGCAGTGGTGAGGCAGATGTTGATGGCGAGGTGAGAACAACAAAAGGTTGCAAATATTGTCCTAAAGCACAGAGTAGTTGCCTGAGACCTTGAAGGATGGTCTTTAATCCCTTTTCTGGACTATTCTGCCTCAGTTCCCCAACCTATACCACTCTGGCAGTATTATTGACAGCTACAGTAAGGTGCTGTGAAATCTGTCTGAAAAAGATACGCAAGTCCCAAGCACATAGCTTCGTCGCTAACGTTATTACAGGATTAATAAAATACAAAGAAATTGTATTTCCTTTGCAAACCACCCCACAGGGAAGCCACCAGATTTTTTTTCAACACTCTGTAAAATGAGGATAGGAGCCACTAATCACAGGTCTCTGCTTCTGCTGAGAGTATTTTGGCATTAGGCATCTGACCCGTCGGAGACAGCCGGTCACAGTGCCATGGCAGTAGGGTGAGTCCGCCTGCTCGCAGCTCCCAGCTGCTCTCCAGGTTGCAGCCTGGATCCCCTGGCTTTGCTGGTCCCCACAGGGGTCCGGCACTGCCCTGGGTGGAGGCATCTCCAAGTCAGGTTTTTGGAGGTTATAAAGGAACATAGTTTAAGCATCTATCTCCCCCAGTTTGGTCCTCCTTGGAAGTGACTGTCATTTGGGGCCAGAAAGAAAAGTTAAATATTGCAAAACTTTAGAAACGGGAATGCCTTCTTCTCTATGCAAAATAATACATACCCACAGAAATGGCTACTGGTTGTACAGTAGTAACTGCAGATGTATTTTAATACATGCTTTAAGCTTTTTTTTCATCCTTAGGTCCCAGTCATTAGGGTTTTCACAGTCAAGACCTCTTTCAAGGAAACGGTGGAGGGTTCGTGACATACCTGCTATTGTTCAGGGAAATATGTTCCCCCTCCTTGCAAAATTAAACTCATGCCTTAGCCTAAGGGTGCACAGCAAACTTGGTGTACAAAAAAGAAAAGAAAAAACAAGCTCCGAGGGAGGCATGTGCCAACAACATGTTTAGATTGTATCAAAAAAAAAGAGTACCAGTGATTGTCCATCATCCCTCTTGGTATGATCTCAGTCTTAGCCTCTTAGAAACTGCTGAGAAGGGAAACAGAGCTAGGATAAAACCAAGGGTGTCACTTGAGTTCCCCTTGTCTCTGGTGGGTGCTCACCTCTCCCTTCCCTGTCTGCAGGAACTCCTCCTACTGCGCCGAGGTCTCCATCCACCTCACGGTTGTGGAGAAAAGAGCTGCTCATGAGATTGCCTATCCCCAGGTCCTCTTCACTTTCACCTCTGGAAAGATTGTTTGCCCTGAACTGTGGGATTATACACCAAATAGGACAAGCCTGGAGCTCAAGTGGTACAAGGTAGAACTTTCACCTCCTCTTTGCACAAAATGTAATCCCAACCTGTTTGTAAAGGCACATACATCTCCACTTTCTCCTGAACATCATGTTGTTAAAGTCATAAGCACAGCACAATATACTGGGAATTGTGGGACAGAGGTATATATTTTAAGAAAAGTTGTCTGGGGTGGACTCAGCACAGGGTGAAGTTCTTCACTTGTTATATACACTAATAGGCAGTGTAACTATTTTTAAGGCTACCCTGACTCCAGGGTTTGCCACATCAGATTAGGCCCTTCTCTTTGGTGCTATGCTTCTTTTTACAGTCCCTCTAGTGAATCCCATAAAGTAGGATCTCCCAGTGATGCTTCCCCCGTGTGAGCTGTTCAGATGGTAGCTTTCAGTAATGAACAGAAATACGGCATTTGGAAATACTAGAGTTGTCACACAATGCTTATAGTGTTTTCTGTCTAACTTGCCAGTCCATTGCTTTTCAAGTAGGCAAGCCTGGTTTTGCCTGTAAGGTCAAATATCCTTCAGCTGATCATCCTCAGACGTACAATCTTGCAATGGACAGCACAGGATTCTTCTTATATTTCCATAATACCTTTGTTTAGCTTTTATTTACACTTCCACTATGCTCTTAGGCTCTGCCTCGTGCAGCTATCATTCTTGCCATGGGATGTAATGCCTAGGGTGGCTTCATACAGCAGTGCCTATGCTGTGATTGGGACCATACCAGCAAAATGTCTCTGCTCAGGATTCCCTTCAGAAGCAGGCTATAACCCACTTACCCAAGGAAAATGCTGCTCCCCTCAATATGGTTCTTGTTACAACTGTTAGAAGGAGCTAGCCTGCCTTCATGGAGAAGGAACATCATCGCTCCTAGCAGGGCTCCAACCTGTGTGTGAACAGGGCCTTAGTGATCCAGAGCAGGGATGGATCACAGTTTATGACATCATGTAGGGCAAGAGTTTTGTGACAATTTTCATGATTACTAGCATTTATCTTCAAAGAATGCCTTAGAATATTACTCCTATGAGGACATGTATGGAAAGTAATAGTGTTGTGAAAACCATGATCACTAAAATGGTTCTGTCTTAGAAGAATGTATTAGATAGTTACTCTTAAGTGGACCCAGGAAAGTGCCTGTTATATCTTTTCCATCTTAAAATGTGTACTTCATTGAAAAGCTATACACACACACTGTAGATAGCGATTCTTCACACTTCATATAGTGCCTCAAAGCATTTTAGAGACAGATACACAACTGAAGAACTTGTCCTTTGGTGGGAGAGTGGAACTGCTCAGATTTCCCACTGATAAGCGAACTTTTAACAACAGAGAGACAGGGGTAAGTAATTTTGTCTGGAAGTTACACAGGGTGTAACCACTCCTACCCGAGCCATAACACCAGTTGCTGTCCTTTCTCCAGGATGCTCTGCCTTTGGAAGACAATGAAAAATTTGTAATTCTGAAAGGTTCGACTTCTCTGATCATGACTTCTGTACTACCAACAGACACTGGCTATTATACCTGCAAGATGTCATTTCCATTTGAAGGTGTAATGTATGAAATCACCCGAACAATTCATCTGAAGACTGTTGGTAAATATTGACCCCTTGAAACATTACAGCACTTAAGAAAAATGTCTTGTTAATGTGACTCAGGAGAGTAACTCATACGTGGCCTCCCAGCACGGTGAAGGGAAGTGGGAGGCCACGGGTGCTTGCTTTGGCACTGATGAGCTTCCCAGAGCCCCCCAGCAGGGCTGGGGTCACCCCACTGCCTGATTTAGAGCAGATACGTGGGAGGCAGAACTCGGTGTTGCAGGTGCCTGCAGAAGAATTTAGGAAGAATTTATGCCTGAGGGTGGCGGTGAGGAGGGGGCGTCACTGCAAAAGACCTCAGAGGGCGTAGGGAATAAAACATTCACCACCCACTCAGGCGGGGGGCGGGGGGAAGCCCGCCATTTCGCAATCGCCTGAACCCGGCTCGCTCCGCCGAGCGGCCAGCAGGGGGCGCGCGCGCGCCCGGGAGCCGCCAGCGCCGCCCCGCCCCTTTCCCCGCCCCTCGCCCACTCCCCGCCCATCCCCGCGCGCCCGGCCCCGCCCGTTTCCCCGCCCCCTCGCCCCGCCCCGCCTGTCCGCCCCGGCCCGATTCCACGCCTCGCTGGCGTGGGAGTGCCGAGGGCGTAGTTTCGTGTTTACGGATCCGTGCTCTGCCTAAATTTGCGGCTTTTCCGTTTTTGCGAGTGTGCAGTGGGTGTGCAAGGGTGTCGGCACCCCCCGCTCACGGAAAGCGCCGTGCGTAGCGCCTGGTGTTGCTGTTGCTTCCCAAAGACCCTCACTCGTGGGCCGTCAGTTTGTCACCGTGCGGCTTTCAGGATCAAGGTGCGAGCTTGATCCTGTCCATCCCCACAAGCACAGATCTCCAGGCTGGAAACTGGGGTGTCTCTCTTTGCCAGTGGGTTTAATAACCAGAGGCTTTCCTGGAAGGTGAAGGATGTTGAGCCGAGTGGCACGTTTCTGTCTGTAGTTCTGGGGCAGCACCCACGTTTTCTGTTGTGCCAGCACTGACTCTGTTGTCTTTCTCCAGAACGAGAAAAGAGAATTACCCCAATAATTGTGTATCCAACACAAAAGACGACTTCGGCTGCTCTTGGTAAGGCTCAGCATTATTTTTGGAAACATCAGGCAAAAATTAGAGCTGGTCCTCTAGTGGTGTCATTTGTTGGCATAAATTGTTGTACTTTTGATCTCAATTATATTTGCTGAGAGTTGGTGTTGGAGCAGTTTTTGCTTACTACCTGCAGCTAGATGCTGTCTTCCATATAGGAGAAACTGCAGAACTGCTGTAGATTTTAGCCACTAGCAAAGCAAAAGAAGCATGTTTGCACCATTAGATCAGCTGTCTAGAGTTCCCCTTTCACTAAGAACTTTCCTTTATCAGTATTCCCTCAGATTGGTCCAGGTTATCTGGTGGCTTTGAATGAGCCATCTAGCTCTTTTGGAAGAAGACTTTTTTCCATCACTTTTTACTGTCTGACCTAGACAGTTGTTAGTTAGCAAGTACCTTGATAGATCTCAAGTTTTAATTGAGGAGTATATTATGGCAACAAATTTCTGTTACATTTCCTCTTCTCAGAAAATGCTAGGTATATTTTACACTAAGCATTTTTATTTACTTGGGTACTACACTCACAGTTGTGTCCTATGATGTCTGAGTTTTCCCTGCCACTTTCCTTTCCATCGGCGTAGGACTACCAAGTCACACTCTTTTTTTTTTTTTTTTTGCCTATCTAGCTCTGTGGAGTCTTTTATATCCCTTTTTTCACCATCTGCACAGATATAATAATAAAATTGTTTGCATTATTGAGCCCTGCATTTTCCATATAATATAGATACGCACCAGATTGAAGGCTTTTTATCTTTAGCTCCAAGTTACAATAATTGCAGCAAAACTACTGAATTTTTGCATGATCATTTTATCTCTGGAGGTCCTACCTTGAGCTGAATGCTCTTGTCCACAGCACCTCTGAGTGAAGCTACACTGCTGGTCAATGCAGTTGCACCATAGTGGTAAACCACACCGTGCCCTTTGGGCTGCAGTACGTCAGAAGGAGCAAGGCCACAAGAACACAGCTTTGCCTCCTGAGGAATGTGTCTAGTGCAAGAGTTGCTAACTGTTGCAATGGGAAAATAACTTGGTTAGCAGCAGGAAGGCCTGCCAAACTGAAGGGTCTTGCTGCCAAGGAGGGGATCAAAAGCAATCTGGGGATTAACTTCATTTTTTAATGTAGTGGTGCTGGATGTGTGTGGGAGCTTGAGCTCCCACTGGAGATGTTGGTTTTCACCAAGAGAAAGAGTAGTTTTGCATGTGTACCCCAGTGCGTTTTTAATATTTCTCTTACCAACAGGCTCCAAGATGACTCTCCCATGCAAAGTGTTTGTTGGACTGAGCAGCCACATCCACACTGATGTGGAATGGCTAGCAAATGACACCATCGTCGATGTGGTTTACAAGAAAAGCAGAGTTACACAGGGAGAACGACAGTAAGTCCAGCTGAAAGTGTTTCCTTGTGCTTGTTATTTAACCTGCAGTGGTACAGGGGCTCTCAGTGCAGCTGAATGACAGGTAGTGGAATGGGATAAGCACAGGTCTGAAGTGAAGGTGAGAGCTGAGAAAAAAACAGGCAGGCAAGCAAAAAAACCCCCAAACCCAACCCAGACAGGGTGAAATCAATTCTTTATCTCTGTTTGGTTGTTGGGTTTTTTTTGTTGGTTTTTTTTTTTTTTTTTTTTTTTTTTATTGTTCATGGTATACTGTGAATGAGCCAACTTTGAGGCTTGAAGCACATTTTCCTGGGCAGCTAAGCTGATGAAGAGCTGACTGCAGTGGAAAGCAATGGGACTTGATCCTTCCCAGTGCTTCTCTTATCTCTTTCCTTGCCCCGCGCCAGTGAAATGGCAACATCCTCTCCCCGACATTCATGAAGTTCTCTCAACACAGTAAGACAACAGAAAACTATTCACTGGTTTCTTTATGTTTTATTTTTTTTGTTTTTTTTTTTTTTTTTTTTTAGCATGATTCTTTTTTTTTCCTGAGGCTTGTTCTCTTCCACATTAGTGAGTTAAAGTGACTCACAGAGACGCCCAATGAGTGCTAGAGCTGGCGTCAGGGCAGCACTGGGGGGGGGGATGCTGGTGGGAGGGAGAAGCAGGATGTCCCACATCCTCTTGCCCTGATCCATTGTCTTTCCCAATCTTCTGGAGCCTTCCCTCAGCTGTCTCATAGCTGCATGCCTCAGGGCTTTTTCTGCTAGGAAAGGAGGGAAAAGATCTGCTTTCTGCACCTGCGACATGTCACCTGAGCAGCGCGAACTCGCTACGTTTAGGCATGCTTTGCAAATGTGAGGTAAACCTACTGACTGAAATTTCTTCATTGAGGTCCAAGTCTTTGTGTTTTATCTCTCATTTGATGATGTCCACAGAAGTCCTCATCCTCACCTGCGTCACAGTGGCTCTGCCCGCACTGGTGGACAGAGCTAGGAAGGTTCCTGGGTATAACAGCTGTCATTGCCTCTGCTGTTAATGGTTAAACTGGTTAATCACCTTCCCAAAGAGCTCCTGGCTATTGATTAGGATTTAGCATGGGGCAGGGAACATTCCCAGCAGAGTCTGGGGATGTGGCATCCCTATTTTGAGGGACAAGAGCGTTTAACAGTTATGTATGTGAGCTGGTTTTGGCCATCTGTGGCCATCAGTGCCAGATAACAACCTGGCCATGTTTCATTTATTGCATAGCTGCAGCCAGAGGTAACATGGTAACTCAGCTATATGACCAAGCCCTCATGTGATATCACATTCCACACAGCATGATTGAGACCATTCATTTATGATGTTGCTTATATGGATAAGTGACAGTGCATTAAACCTGTGGTCAAGACCATAAAATGTACTGTGGCCACAGTCTACAGGCTTTAGAATAGAGCAGCACATGTACTTTCCTACTTGGACTTCAAAAATTATTTTTATTGTTACTATCACTATCATTATTACCCTTGGTTAGTATTATACAATTGCACAAGGACAGGGACTATGCCAGTCAGGGCTCATGCGGAGCCCACGGTGCTGAGACACCCCAGTCCTGCCAGAAGCCCTCAGAATGGCAGCAATGCCAAACAGGTCAAATGCCACCGGGAACACCAATTTCCCACGGAACTCTCTAGCAAAGTGTTGCTGCCTCTCTGGGGTGCGGTCCTGGCGGGAGGGTGCAGGGAGCTGCATTACCGCAGCGCATAGCAGAGTCATGATCAGATCACTAACGGGCAGCCGGACAACGGCTCCAGCAATGGCTGAAAGGTAAGAAGAGACAATGTTTGGCTGAAGCTAGAAAATCACTTTTAAATAGTCAGACTGATGAAACAATCAGGTTGAAGGAAGCTGGAAACTTCCTAGGCAGTTTCTTGTATGGAGCTTTTGGCTTTGGGTGCATGGTAGACATGAATGGTGGTTCAGCTTGCTGAGCGAGGATTTGCAGGGTTATGTTCTCCATGTGTCCTCTTCCAGCTGACAGTAAGAATTAATTTCAGAAATGAATAGGTGGTTAGAGAGAAGCAATAAGGTCCTTCCACAATGCTGTGTAGAGAGCTCAAAGATATACAGAATTCTGTTTGCCTTTCTTCCCTCCTTTTTCTTTATTTTTGCAAGACAAATCCAGAACATTTTTTCCTGGAAACTTCAACAAGTGCAGGATGGATACTGACTTCTGAGACTCAAATAGTTGGCACAACTGGGCTGAAAGACACAGGTGTCCTCTAATGCCGAGAGGCTAGTTCAGAAATGAGCAAATATCCAATGCATTTTCTTGCTATGTGCTGTTAGGATGAACACATCAAAAAGACAAAAGTCAGCTTATAAAAGGATTTAACATTATTTTTTTTCTTCTTCTTCTTCCAGAGAAATTGTAGAAAATGGTGAAAACTTCATTGAAGTGCCACTGATTTTTGATTCTGTCGAAGAGGTGGATTTTTACACAGACTTTATGTGTCTGGCCCAGAACAGATATGGATACCAAGTACTGCCAACAAGGGTCAAGCAGGAAGGTAACTAGTTTTACTGCCTATTTGGGATAATTGTTGTCATTATTCTAATGCTAAATTATCATCCAAGCCTTTTATACCGTCAGAGCTAGTATTGGGATGAATTATTGCCTGGGGAAAAACTGATTGCCTCTTTCACCTGTAGACTTCGACATAGCCTGTTCACAAAATACACTCTGGGTCATTCACTGACATTTTCTGCAGGGATAAGGATCTGTGCTGGTATATCTGTTCACTGGATAGGGCTCCAATTCAGATACACTTTGTGAAATGATGGCTCCAGTGAGACTACTGGCAAACTCCCATTGGGTGCAGCAGGGCCAGATCTCCTCTAGTTCCTCAACAAATAGTGAATGAAAAAAAAAAAAGACAATAGCAAAATAAATATCAGAGTATTCCTTCTCCTCGTGCTCAGACTGCTGCCAAAATAACAAGAAGTGTAAATTACGATGGATGTCATTATTTTGGCTCCTACTGATGGGAAGGGAAGCCCTAAGCTCAGTGCAATTAATTTTGCAGTATGATGGACCATTTGCCAAGAACCAGCTGTAAAAACAATGTGAAGCAATGCGAATTGTTTCTTTGCATGATGTTGATGAATCATCAAAGCTTGCTCACACTGTCTTAGAGAGGCACATGAACATTTACCATCTTCATTATGAGTTATAACTCATGACTCACTCCAGCATCCTATGATGAGGGATTTGTACTCATTTGCTGCCCTTGTCTTCCATGAGCTACACAGGTATTACTACAGAGAAGGCAATCCATGAACCAATATAAGTTGGAACAATCCCAAATAGTCTGGAATGACACTGGTCTTGGAAATTAACTGTATTTTTGGAAAAAGTTCAGAGTCTTGGCTTGATCATTAGTAATTTATAGGCTGCTCTGTCTGAGAAAATTATTCACAGAGCTTGAGGGTGGACAAGCTGTTATGTACTCCCTTTCCACACAGTGCTTTTATTTCCTGCTAATTAAGATAGAAAGCATATAGCCACCCTGAGCAGGGGTTGGGAAGAGTCATCTGCGTGCAAAAGGATTAAACTTCAAATTCGCACCCTCTTGTTTTCCAGTTCTTCCTCCCATCTTCATAAATCCATTTCCCAGAGAACTCAACCAACAGGCCTCTTCCTTTCACAGGTGATCAACCCTGCTGGAAGGTTAACTTGCAGACATCCTTTTAATTGTGACTTCTCTTCCTCACTGAACTTAGAGAACTATGTTCTTGGGAGGTTTTTTTGAAAATATGTAATTTCTTTACTTTTCCAGCTGTCGGCTTGTCCTGGTACATTGCAATGATTCCTGTCACATTGGCCTGCGTGATCTTGGTGGGGATATACATACACAAGTGCTGGAAGCAGAGAGCTGACAAAGGATACACAATAGCAAAGGTTTAAAATCTGCTTTATTCTCCTATCGCCAGCAGAACAAAAATATCATCTTGACTATCTTTCATGTGAGACACAGAGACATTTCAGACCAGACATACTGCTTTCCCAGCAGATGGAGATATATATCAGCTATTTTCCTCTTCTCCAAGTCTTCTCCGATCTGATGAAGTATTATAAGTTAGGATTTTTATGCTGCCTAGATGCAGAAAACCTGCTTCTATTATTTTGCAAGTAGGGTGAAAACTGTAGCACTTTGGAACACAGGATAGCAGGAATGTGCCCTGAATGTAAGAAGAGTAGGGAAAGGGAGGTGCTCTCTCCCTTTGTAATTCCAATAGTCTTATTGTTCAAAACAAAATGGAAAAGACCCCCCCTAAAATCTAAAAGTTAGAAGTTAAAAAAGATTGCTATAAGAGGACTATTCCAAACCAGAGTGAAAATGCAGTTTTCTTACACATCCAAACTCATTTTATTTTACTTCAGTCTAAAAAGAGCCAGTGTTTTCCCTTTTCCAAAGCCAAACACAGTTGTCATAGCAACTGTATATCTATGAACTTTTCCACAGAAGATCTCAATTTTTTCACCATTTGGATTATTCTTTGCTTAAATGGACTGTCTCAGAATATCCCTCCCCCAGACATAACTACATTGGTGTAAAAGATAATTGTACGCTGGAGAATTCAGTTCTTTCCTATCTACCAATATCTCATAGCTAGAGATTTATAGGCAGCTGTAGCATGTTGTTATCTTTGACAAGAAAATAATTTGGAGTCATGTTTTAGTTTTTTGAGAGTTATTTGACTAACACAAAATTTTATTCCTGGAAATGACTGGACAGATTACGAGTTACAATGTACAGTCTTGCCCTTCTGTGACTCTAACCCTTTCCATGACTGGCCTGATTCTCCTCTCATATTGCTATGAGTGTAAAAGACTGGCATAGATTCTCATAAGCAATGAGTCTGCATTGGTCTAAAGCTGGTGCAGCTTCAGGAACCTTGTGTCCTTTAAATTGAAGTATGCAAATTGATTACTCATGATGCAAAATGCTGCCCATTAGGTTAATCTAACTGGATCCCAGTCTTGACAAAAATCAGAAGGAAGCAATAAATAATCAGTGGCCATGTTGTAATTGGAGGATCAGAATGAGTAGAATGACCTGGTTACTTCCACTGCCAAGAGATAATACTTACGATAGCTGAGAAGTAGTTCCATCATATATAATGTTCACTATCTTCATCTGTACAGGAGGGGAAGAGATCCAGTCTTAAGGTCTAGATTGTTACAGACCCATAACTGACACCTCTCACAGATACCAAAGATAAAGTTCAGTAAATCACCCCAGAGGTTTTTCAAACACTGTAGGAAAAGAAATAATCAGGAAAAATGCTGGCTCCAAAGCAAAAAAATGTAAAGTTAGAATGTTAGAACTGCATCTGGCATCACAAACTAAGGAAATGAACAACTCGCATCCATCTGGAAGAGGACAAGGACGTAATCTAATTCCTTTCCACCATCTCTTATAGATGGTTCTGAGTTGAGCCCAATAAATATCTGGAAGGATTTTAAAGACTAGGATGTGACTTGAATTAAGAAACACTTTGATCTATTAGAAAGAACCTTCACTTTTTACAAGATTTAAGTCAAAGTCTCCCTTTAAATATTCTAAATGTTTGCTGTGAAGATACAGGTACAGAGATTAGATTTCTGACACAATATGAGTCAATGTCAGCCAAAGAAGACCACAAGACTTACTGTTTCCAAGTGCAGGGTATTAAAGATGATAGCAAAGAATACATATGTTTTATGGGCAGTTGGGAAAAAGGTTGTTGCAAGTGAGGAAAACAGTCAATCCACTTGACTATCAGTTCTTTGAAGGAAGAAAACTGTAGATGAACTGATCGTTGCTGGAAGAAACATAAAAAATGTTTTAGGTATGTCGAGAATGATCATTTTTATGAAGAAATTGCTAGTCTGTAGCTAGACAACAACCTAGACTTGCCAGTAAGTGTAACCTTTCAAAATGTGATTTGTTCTTCCTATCCATCTGTATCCTCCAAGAATAGTGTGATCACACATCTGGCTGTAGGCGTGGGATTGGATTTCACTAAGTAGTGGAAAAGAAGTAGAACTTCTGGTATATGGGGGTATTGGTGCCATGAGAAAGTGAAATACCTCAGATCCTTCTCCAAACTAGAGAAAGGGAAAAAATGTGAATGTGAGATAAAAGTTAGGCATACAGAGAGCTCATGTTACATACTCAGTGGTGTCTTGAATACAAGGGAAACATAAAGAAACACACGTTTATATTTTATGAAGTGATATTTCCATCTCTGATTACTGTGTAGTAATATTCTGAAGGCTTTCATCATAGATAGACTTGTTCAAGTGAACTACATAGTGTAAAAGTTTTACAGGTATACTTGAACAAGTGACCTACATAATGTAAATGTTTTACATAGATTTGTATTTTTATAAACAAGGGTAACATGATCTATATTTTTGAAAATGTTATGTGAAAAATGAAAAAATATAAAAAACAAAACCAAAGTGCTGGTGTGTGAGTTGAGTGGGAAGGAAGATGTGAAATGCATCTTTGGGGGTGGCAGCTCTTTCCCAGAAAGGTGTGATTTTTCCAGCTCTGCTGCAGAGGGGCTCATCCCTGGGGGCACGGCGACCCCTCCTCCTCTGTCTTCAACCACTTCTGCTCTCACCCTGTGACTGGGCCTTGTCACACCAATGGGGGACTGAATCCTGATGGGCCAAGCTCCTTTCTTGACTGCCGCCACGTTCCTGGCTGTCCTTGCTCTGCAGTTCCCTGAGCATTTAGGCTCACCCTGGACAGGTGGTATTGGGTGATATTTCTCTGCCTAACAGCTGTCGAAGTTTTGTGTTCCCCCACTGACTTCTGTGGGCAGACTTCTGGAACTGTAGGTTAACACAGATTGTCACTGTGGGGATGGGAATTTAGCATGTGTTCCTCAGGTGGGGAGATCTGTCTTATTCAGCTTCCAAAGGCAAAATGTATGTCTCCTCCTTTTTTCAGTCAATATTAGAGAACTCCAGTTATCACTGTACTTTAGGTAGGCCCATCTTGGGAACTTCAGAGTCATTAGCCTCAATGTACTTTGACGAAAAAATGTCCTGAATCTCAAGGGAAATTGAGACTGAGGGCTTATACTGATTTAGAATCAGACCTGAAAAGAAATACAGTATCAGGGAATGCCACTTCATACCAAGGATTCATAGCTCTGCACCATGATGTTTCTCTTCAGAAAAATTGATGATGTAAAGAGGACAAGGCCACCTCATTCCTGGGACTGTGTGGGTTTACAGCATTAGCAAGAGAGCTCATCTACCTGCAACAACTTCAAAGACATACCTACAGATGGGAAGAGACTGGTGTCCCATGGTCTTGGCACGAGTTAGCACCCAGGACAGAGGGTGTTCCTGCAGAAATAGCTCTTTTCAGGAAACATGAGTTCAGTTAACAATTATTGTTTTACTCAGCATATGTGATCTTGATGTCAGCTATCCATCTCAATAGGCAGCATAACTAATGTTTGACTAGAGTAGCACCTAAAAAAAGTAAACATAATTTGGGGAGCACAAAATAATTAGATCTGCTGGTTCCCAAACAAAACCCTTAAATAAATGTGGGAGAAAATGGCAATTTAAATGGATCTGCACACAGAGCTGATCTTGGCAGATCAAGATAAGAAGGTTACATTTTTTTAATTCTAGTATCTGGAGGTGAGAAAGGTGTGCATGCAGGATGACAAGAAACATGTGAAATACCATTGCCAGGAATAATGCTTTAAGTATGAGAATAACTGATTAAAGTGTTTGATGATTATTCTGACTCGAGTCTGCAAAGCAAGAGGCCCAGGAGAACAAAACAATGTGAGGAACAGGTCTTGTACTATGGAGCTGAGAGCTCCCTGTCCGCTCATAACCTTGGAGCTGCTAAAGATAGCCTAGGGTGGGGAGCCTCTCATCCAGCCTTGGACCAGCCAAAAGGAATACAGCTGGTCCAAGCTAGTCATTGGTGTTTCCTCTCTGCTCAGTGGAGGAGTTATCTCCGGTGCATAAAATAAATGGGATGAATTGCCCTCTAGAGGTGCCTGTCTTTTTCCACCAGTTTAAGACAAAATGAGACAAGTCCATCCTGGATTACGGGAATGATTATTTGTGGACCACTGGATTTTAGGTTATTGGAAAGGAAACAGATTTAAGCCCAGAAACACATACTCAAGTCTGCTGGGCTTTCTTGGGAAATTACTTTAATACTGGCAGCTCTCTGTGCAGAGCAAGGACAAAGGCTCACTCTAAATGTAAACACTATAAGAGGGTGGGAGGCAGGCATAGAGAGGCATGTGTTGTGGGATCCAACGTAAGAGGCAGGCTGAAAATATCTGGTTGATGCCAGACAAACGTTTGTGGCTCATGGACTGTGCGGTCATGAAGTGCCACAGCTATTACAAGAAGAAAAGAAAGAGCTGCCCTGTGTGTGTGGCTGAAGTATACGGATCCTCCCTGGGAGAGGGAGTAAGTCTGCTGTGCTGCTGCAAGTGTGCCGGGGGCTCTCGGGCATGGGCAGGGCAGGGGGGGCTGCCAGCCCTTCCACAGCGCTCAGCCAGCTCAGCTCCCACTGCGACCAGTGCCCGCCTGCTCCCGGCAGGCACTGCTGGGCAACAGCAGCACACCGGGGAAAACATCCTGATGTACAAATGAAATATCATAAAAGTAGCCTGCTGCCAGTGGACAATCACAGGCTGTTCATAAGAAAGCCACTAAAAATGTATATAACTCATTAGTCTGTTTTAGTGCATTTCTTGCGCTGGAAATGATAGTCTATAGCAGTCGATTCATTAGTTAGTATATACGATGTAAAGAGCTCAATAAAGCAGATGAAATACAGCATCAATCAATTTTCAAGAGGACATACCATTATTTTCCTGAAGTTCCTCAAGGGAGAGTCGGTTGTTAACAATAACAATGGAGAAACTTTCAAAAACTCACATAGATCCAAGCTCACTGGTGAGAACTTGGGAAATTCATCCATTACTGAAGCTTTAACTGTGAAGCGTAGTCTGGCTTTCATAGTTGTGTGTCCCTCCTACCAATTTGAGGTTTTTGCCCCAGTCTAAATTGTCTCAGAACCTGATGACCACCTCAGGTGCAAATAGCAAACTCCTTTGTAACATGTTGAAAAGTCAAGTTCACAATCCTGACAAGAAATGAAGGTTCTCTCTCACTGTTTTTACTGGTTTGTCATCTGTTGAGTAGTACCACAGGAACTTCGCTTACATGTACTTAAATTTAATAGAAATGCAGGTCTTGGTTTCTTTGAGGACGATGAGGCATTACCAGGCTTTCCGTCTCGTGGGGCTTGAATGGTAGCCATTCACTTAAAGCGTTAGAGGTCCTGTTTTGCCTTCGTTATAGAGGATTCATCTATTTGCAAAGCTGTGGGACAAATGAATCATCCTGGTCACTTGCTTTGGCTCCCAAATATGCTTTGCCATAAGTGCTAGGGAGGCAAGACCATGACTGGAAATAGTTGACACTATGTTAGTTTACTTGCAAAAAAAAGGGCTCTCAAGTAACTTGTGGCTTTCAAGTTGGGGGCACAGCTGAACTAAGTAATTGAAGGCTATCGTTACACGTATCCTCAATGTGTTGCTACCACTCCTCTCCTTTTGACTGGGACTTACCATGGTTGCTCTTCAGTCAATTTGAGAACTCTCCAGAGGAGGCAGAGGGCAAGCCATGCTGGTTTCTCAGCCCTTGTCATTGTAACCCAGCCAGCCTATGGGTGCTGGAGACTAGGCCCTCCTCCTTGTGAGTGGAGAAGAGCTATCAGCTCAGGGGAGAAACAGATGCCTGCCTTTGATCACAGATGATGCATCATTTACCTGCTGAATCTAAGCCAGTAAAATGCAGGAGGAAGCACAGCAGAGAAAGATCACAGATTCACATCTCCACCTACAAATGGCAAAGCCGTATGACTGGCCACTCCTTGATATGGAATAATGTATAAGCTCTTTTTTTTTTTTTTTTTTTTATTACCATGCCGATGTGGTGCCATTTAGGAAATATGGATTGCATGGGATAACATAAGGATGAGTGGAAGAGGGTGGCTTTCCATGGGGAGAGCTGTGAAGTGCTGCAAGGACAGTTGGGGAATGGCAAACTTGTAAGAATAGGCAATATGAACTTACCTTCTGCCTGGAAAGGCAAAGACAAACGATGGTAACTGCCCGTAAGTACATACAGTGGGAGAGTAAAAAAACAAGGGCATGTAATTATTTCTGCTAATGAATGGAATGAAAAATGCATAACCAAAATTAAGTTGGCCACTAACCACTCCAGCAGTGAGGTCCTGAAAGAGCTTCTCAGCATGAGTAAAGGGTAGGAAAATAAATGACCTGAAGCTGGGTACAGCTATGAAAGAGATTTGATGTGTGTGACAGCAGGGGGTCTTGCTGCAAGGCTGCATCATGTCCTCCAGCTCTGTGCTCTTTATTTTCATTGAAAAATGGCTGGACAGCTGAAGATAAAAAAAAATGCCATCTAAGAGTTTAATTATTGTGTTATTATTATTTCATCAGTTAAATCTTCAGTGCCCGTATTTACAATGCTTTCAAGCTTGTAAGGGCTGGAAGTTCAAAAGAATTAAACACTGAACACAATTGCTGGAAATGTCTTTGTAGACATGTCCAAAATCCTAATCTGCTTTAAACTCTGCCAGAAGATGCCAGTTGCCCCTGAAAAATAGCCTCTAATGAGGTTTGGCTTTCTTACTGGAGGGTGTAATCCAGTCTGTAAACAAGACTGTGTTGTAAGAGTGTGTGAGTTAGCACTTCATATGACTAAGTGCCTCCGTTCTGCGGAGAAGAGGAGGAGGCCCGTAAATTCTAGTCTGCCCTTTTTCACTCAGTCTCATGAATGTTGCTTTCTGGTTGTTTATTTTACTGTTTAATGGCTGCTCCTGTGACATTCACTCTTGGCCTTGCACTGGGAACCACAATGAAGAAACGCTGCCCCAACGAGGGTCCCAGGAGCTTCCTGGCCAAGTGCAGCAGGGTCTCTCAGACTGCAAGCAAGCAGCAGGAGTGAAGTCTCTGTCGGGAATGTCTGGTCACTAGAGTCAAGGAGCAAAGAACACAGTAATGGTAAGTGGTGGTGTCATCCAACTCTCAGCCCTGGAAGAGTACTTCAGGACATAGAAGACAGTTGCTGAAACATGACTGCTAGAGGCTTGACAGAAATATTTTATAGCTTGTAGGATCACATTTCAGGACTGTTTCCTGTGCCTCGATGTTGGCTTTTTTTTAACATTAATTATAAAAGCAGAATGTTGATTTACCCAATGCAATCCCCTCATCCTTCCTTCCGTCAATAACTCAAGCTTTTCATCAACTGTCTGACCAGTATGGGACACGCCGGTCATGCAGAGGCAGTGTGAAACTGTGT